TTATTTTTATTTTTTTACTTTTGTATATAATTTTATTGATTAAGATATTACATATAAGGCCCGACAGTCCACTCAATGCCTCTCCGTCTCTGGATCAGTCCTTGTTCATCAGTTTATGATGTTCATTATATTCCACAAATGAGTGAGATCATGTGGTATTTATCCTTCTCTGACTGGCTTATTTCACTTAGCATAATGCTCTCTAGTTCCATCCATGGTGTGGCAAATGGTAAGAGTTCCTTTTTCTTCTTCCTCTTCTTAAAGAATACCTTTCAGCATTTCATATAATGCTGGTTTGGTGGTGATGAACTCCTTTAGCTTTTTCTTATCTGTGAAGCTCTTTATCTGACCTTCAATTCTGAATGATAGCTTTGCTGGATAAAGTAATCTTGGTTGTAGGTTCTTGCTATTCATCACTTTGAATATTTCTTGCCACTCCCTTCTGGCCTGCAAAGTTTCTGTTGAGAAATCAGCTGACAGTCGTATGGGTACTCCCTTATAGGTAACTGACTTTTTTTCTCTTGCTGCTTTTAAGATTCTCTCTTTGTCTTTTGCTCTTGGCATTTTAATTATGATGTGTCTTGGTGTGGTCCTCTTTGGATTCCTTTTGTTTGGGGTTCTCTGCGCTTCCTGGACTTGGAAGTCTATTTCTTTCACCAGGTAGGGGAAGTTTTCTGTCATTATTTCTTCAAATAGGTTTTCAATATCTTGCCCTCTCTCTTCTTCTGGTACCCCTATAATTCTGATGTTGGTACGCTTGAAGTTGTCCCAGAGGCTCCTTACACTATCTTCGTATTTTTGGATTCTTTTTTCATTTTGCTTTTCCGGTTGGGTGTTTTTTGCTTCTTCGTATTTCAAATCTTTGACTTGATTCTTGCGATCCTCTGGTCTGCTGTTGGGAGTCTGTATAATATTCTTTATTTCAGTCAGTGTATGCTTAATTTCTAGTTGGTCCTTTATCACAACATCGAGGGTCTCACTAGATTTCTTAAGGATCTCAATACATTTATCGGCGGTTTCCATAAAATTCTTGAAAAATCTTAGAACCGTGGTTTTGAACTCTATATCCAGTCGTTTGCTGTCCTCCATTTCTGTCATTTGTGACCTGTTTCTTTGTCTTCGCATTTTGTCTGCTTCCCTGTGTTGGTAGAGTGGTTTTGTGTGCTAGGTGTCCTACAGGGCCCAGTGGCTCAGCCTCCCCAGTTACCTGAGGTGGACACTCTTGGTGCACCCCCTTGTGGGCTTTGTGCACAGTCTTGTTGTAGTTATGCCTTGATTGTTTTAGGTGTCACTGGGAGGAATTGACCTCCAGGCCAATTGGCAGTGAGAATCAGCTGTGTCTGCAGTGGGAGAACTTCTGTGCTGAAGACACCCTTCTGGGGCAAGACTTGCTTCAGTGGGGCTTTGGTGCTCACTGAGTCTGCCCCCTGAGTGTGTTCCTTATGAATCTGAGGAGTTGTAATCTGGGTGGTCCCACTCTGACCACTGGGTACACTGGCTCTTGGATCTAAGGAGGTGCTAATTAAGCCTCTTCCTGAGGTTACCCAGCAGGAGCTATGAAGAGATATGCAGATTCCCCTTCCTTTTTTGGGGGTTTGGGGGTGCCCAGATGAGGCCCAGCTGAGAAGCAATGCAAGCTGCTGTGGGGCCTTGGGCCTTCTCTTGGAAGTTCTGGGTCTGTCTGGCCCAGCTGCAATTTGTTAGGTAGTTGTCAGGTTGGAAAGGACCCGGGCATTCATATGCAAAAGGCTTTGCAGCAGCCTGGATGGGGCGGGGTCTCGGAATCAACAGGGCGGAGCAAGCAGCTATGGCTGATTCCCAGCCCTGCCCTAAGGGGCCGCGCGTCTCAGTGTCCGGTAATTGCTGCCAGCACCTCTGAGGGAAAGCCGCCCTCAAGTTCCGAGTTCTGCCTGCTGCCAGACCGTCCAGTTTCTCCCTGTATGAGCCCTGGGACCCCAGAGATTTCCGGAACCGGAGTTCAGAGCAGTCGGGAGCTTGTGACTCCCTCCCGATTCAAAAAGACAGCCGCGTCCTCAGGTGCCCGCCCCTTTCCGCGCGCGCCGGAGCCTCCGTACCTCTGCACTTTACTTTCGTAGCTCCTCTGAGTCTGTGTGCTCTTCTCTTTCCTTCTAGTTGTAGAATTTCCACTCAGCCAGCCTTCCTGTGGTTCTGGATGATGACCGTTCTGTCTTTTAGTTGTATTTTTGAAGTTGTTGTCGGAGGCAGCAATTTCCGGTGTTTTCCTATGCCGCCATCTTGGTCTTTTCCCTGCAAACCAAATTCTATAGCAGTCACCCTCAATAGCCCTCCTGGGGCAGAGATTACTTCCTCATTTACTCTTCCATCTAACAAATATTTATATTATTCGCCAGGCACTAGGCTAAGTACTAAAGATACAATGATGCACATAAACAGATATGAGCCTAGCCTTCATGCAGTTTGTAATGTAGGGGATGAGGGGTAGGACAGACATGCATCAAATTATGTCACAAATGTAAAATAATTGTCACAACTGCAGGAAGTCCACACTTGCTTTGAGTGACTGTAACAGCGGGGTTTGGCCTAGTTAGGGAGATCTGAAGGTGAGAAGGACATATGGAGGGGAAGGGGAGGGAAATGTGCGCCAGGCAGCCTTTGCGGAGGCCATGTAGGGGGACATGGCAGGTGTGAGACCCGAAGAAGACAGAGAAGGCTGAAACGGATTGGAAGAGGAGGAGTTGGACCAGGAGACAGGGGTGCCAGAACATGAACACACTCCATTTTAAGAAGATTTCTCTAGCCAGAATGGATGAGGAGAGAAATTTAAGAGGCTATTATTCAGACCTATTAGTGCAGTGGTTCTCAACCTTCTGGCCCTTTAAATACAGTTCCTCATGTTGTGACCCAACCATGAAATTATTTTCGTTGCTACTTCATAACTGTAATGTTGCTACTGTTATGAATCGTATTGTAAATATCTGATATGCAGGATGGTCTTAGGCGACCCCTGTGAAAGGGTCGTTCGCCCGCCAAAGGGGTCGCGACCCACAGGTTGAGAACCGCTGTAGTGGATATACATCCCCCCCCCCCAATACCCACATAGGCCACAAGGGGCATGCATGAGGTGTTCGCTGTGGCAGGTCCATCAACCTAAATCTGAATGACTAAAATGTGTATGTCCACTATGAAATACTGCACAGTTGTTCTAAGTATATACATAGCAATAAGGACAGGTCTTAAAAGCATAGTGCTGAGTGGAAAGAGTAAGAACTAGAGTGAGGTTTATAGCACAATACCATTTAGGTAAGTTAAAAATACACTCACACTAAACACCACACATGTTTTCCAAAGACACTCCCATACACCATTGGGGAAGGTGACAGGAGTGGAGAAAAGAGATAAAAGGCTGTAAACACATAAAACAGGAGAGAGGCCTTGCAGAGCCCTGATGATACTGTGCTATAGTGAGAAATGAGTAATTCAAACTCTGCATCCAGGATTTTAAAAAATAAGGAGCTTTCGCAGTTGTTCAGGACAGCGTGGAGGCATCTTGGACTAGGGTGGATGTGGTGGAGATGAAAAGTGGATTGACTATGTTACACCAATAAATACATGTAACGCATTTCAACAGTGCCTGATACAGAGTAAGTGCCCAACAAATGTGAACTGTTCTTATTTTTATATTGCAGACACTTAGTGATGGATCGAATATGTAAGGAAAGGGAGAGGGTGGTGTCAAGGAGAACTTCCAGGTGCTGGATTGGGCTATTGTTGCCAAGTGGGAGGTGAAAAAATGAAGTGAGGACCCACAATTCTTTTTGAGAAATGTGGATGGGAAGGGGAAGACAGAGCTATCCCTTACATATGGACAACACTCTAAAAAAAACACTTTTTAAAAATTAATCAAGCCTGGCTGGTGTGGCCCAGTGGTTGAGTGTTGACCCATGAACCAAGAGGTCCCTGGTTTGATTCCTGGTCAGGGCACATGCCTGGGTTTCGGGCTCAATCCCCAGTGTGGGGCATGTGGGAGGCAGCCAATCAATGTTTCTCTCTCATCGATGTTTCTATCTATCCCTCTCCCTGCCTCTCTCTATAAAGTCAATTTTAAAACATATTTTAAAAAATAAAATAAATAAAAGACGTTATATCTTTTAAAAAAGTAATCAAGTAAACAGGTTTGTTGTAGAAACATCGTAAGAGATAAATTCAAACAAATTACTGAGTCCCAAATATCTCTGTGGAGCAACTAAGGTCCATATTTGACGTGCAGGAGAAATGGCTCCTGAGACCTTTACAAATGCAAACTTTGTGAAATCCCTGCTGGCATAAGTCTCTAAAATGCAGGATATAGGGCTGAGACTGGGTAAAAGGTCAAGTCATCCATTGAGATAGACACCACGGGGAAAAATAAAAAAAGCTGGTGGATGAAAATGATGCATGAAGTTTTGGGCAGAAACAGTTTGTGTTGAAGTCTGAGATTCTTCTAATGAATACAAAAATATTGAGGGCCTATTATGTGCCAGACACTGTACTGGGGGCTGGGAATACATAGGTGAACAAAACTGATGATCCTCATCTCACTGAGTTGGCCAGAGTACCAAATATTCAAACAGATAAATATGTAATAAACTTTGGTAGGGGTTATGTAAGAAATTATAAAATACTAGCATGTAAACCATTATAAGCAAATGTTTGCTCACATCCTTAATATGTACCTGCGAAGATTCCCTAAAGACTCGATATCTGTGTCTACAGACTTGCTTGTTTTTAAAATTAGTTTTTAAAAATTAGACTTTTTTGTCCTCAGCAACATTGAGGCAGAAAACAAGAGTTCTCATATACCCACTGCTCCCCCTCAACAATATTCTTTTTTAATGTTTTTTATTTTTAATTATTCTTTTACAGAGGCTTTGGAGAATGGGAAAGGATGCTGAAAACACGCAAGGACCCCAGTTTGTTAAAATGAGGTTGAGCGGAAGAGTCGGGAATGGGTAAATAAAAACTACATTTCCCAAGGGGCAGCGCGGCACGTCACATAAAATGGACGGCGCACACGTAAAGGGGTCCTCCGCGTTGCGACTCGGCTCTTAAAAGGGTAAAAGCATGGTTCTCGAGGTGCCGCTAATCTTCGAACGCAAGCGAGTTATTACCTACAGACTTTGAAAAGCATTCGAGGGACGCGCCTACACCCGCCCTCGCAGTTTCCAGCGCTTGTCCCGTCCGTGGACCGGTAGGTGGGGCTGGGACCCGATCTGAGACCCGGGGAGAGTGGCGGGAACGTAGGGCTGGGGTCCTCCCACTGCCTCCCCATTTCCCGGCCTGGCCGAGGCGGCTCCCGAGAGGCCGTGCGCACGCGCCTGGTCTCCCTGAGGAGGCGGGGCTCGGGAGGGGGAGGGGCTCCCGCGCGGGTCCTTGGGGTCTGCGCGTGCGCAGCAGCTCCCGCGAAGATGGGAAGCCGCAGTGGGCGGAGTTTGGTGCGGAGGCCGCAAAGCTGGGGTCCTCCGCTCAGGGGCGAGAGGACGAGGGCTGAGGTGGGCTCCGAGCTCGGGTGGTTTTATTATATTCTCAAGACGCGCCCCTCCTAACAAAACAACCTCCTTCCCCCACCATATACCTCCAGTTGCCTTCCTTCAACTGCCTCCGTTTGCAGCCACAACTTCAGTCTTGGCTCACTAGCAGCGCCCCCGTCAGGCCCGGTCCGCTCCGCTGAAACCCGCTCTTTGCCGAGGCCACGAGCCATCCCGAGGCCCCCAAGTGCGCTGGGTCTCAGCCCCGGCGCAGTAGTTGATGCAGCTGATCACCGCCCCCTCGTGAAACACCTTCTGCATTTGGTGAGGGGGACGTTCTCGTCCTGGCCTCCTTGGCCTCGGCGCCCTGGCCTCTCCTGATGCTCGCCCCTCTTGCTGTAATACTTGCCTACGGCCTCCTCCTAATCTCTCCCCTGCTTTCACTTCCGAGCAGTTACCGTTTTCGAGGCTTTAAATTTAAATGCCACCTGTTGTGACACCTCTCAGGTGTCTGTCTTCAAACCCAGTGCTCCACCCTGGACTCCAGGTTTTTCTTCGGCTCTCACGGGACACCTCTTAAATCTCTGAAATTTTGGGTTTTGCACTTCACTTTCCCCCGTCTTTCCTTTCTTCCGGTTCCCCAGGCCAAACACCTTGAGTTATATTCTTGGTGTCTTTTGCGTCTCCTCTCTCCTCCTCCATCAACCTGCCAGCACATAGTTATCCTTGAGGCTTTGAAAGTTCACGACTGGGTATTGGATGGTAGATAGTCTCTTTGGCACTTGGTTGGTTCTTTCTGCCTGAAAATTTGTGTTTTCAGTTATCTGATATTCTCTGTCATTATTGAGATTTATCTACTTAACTGTACTCTGTTGTAGATGTCCCTTTTAGAACATTTATTTCATCTACAGAGATGTATATGGAACTATTTGTTGAATGTCTGTGCTTCTTTCTGGACTGTTTGTCTCTCTCACTGTTTTATAGCCCACAGGCCTGGCACAGAGTAGGTGCTTGATAAATATTGGTAAATGAATCCTATATAATAAAAGGCTAATATGCAAATCAACTGAACGGCATTATGATGCACACTGACCACCAGGGGGCTCAATGCAGGAGCTTCCCCCTGGTGGTCAGTGCGCTCCCACAGGGGGAGCACCGCTCAGCCAGAAGCCCTGAGCTGGGCTCACAGCTGGCGAGAGCAGCGGTGGGGACGGGAGCCTCTCCCGCCTCCGCGGCAGCATAAGGATGTCCGACTGCCGGCTTAGGCCCGCTGCAGTCAGACATCCCCCGAGGGTTCGCAGTCCCAGCTGAGGGACCCTCCACTCCCAAGTGCACGAATTTTGTGCACCGGGCCTCTAGTGAATTTATAAAAGGGAAGTACCTCATCTCCATAGGTGGGAAGTAGACAATCCCTCTTAGAGTATGTTGGTAGCAACTACTATTTTCTGCAGTCGGGAAGAAGATCCTGAATAGCCCAGCTTCAGAATTGCTGCTGCTTATCACTTGAAAGACCGTTTTAAGAGGTTGCCAGGATTCAGTTCAGCAATCTGTTTCTGAGGACTTAGTAGCTGCCAGACCCTGTGTTTGTTGCTGGGAATAGAAAGTGAACAAAATTGCATCCCATTCTGCTGAGAGCTCATGGTTTGGCAGGAGAGACAAGTAAGTGAAACGGTTAGTCTTTCCGTGTATGTGTGACAGTAACAAGAATGAAAGTTTGCGTGTGGTGCTTGGATGTTTGATTGCGCTTGGTGTTGGGGCATACGAGAGGGGCCTGGGGCAGCCAGATCCCCCTGCCAGTCATTTCTGGCTGTGAGCTGCTTTGTTCTTTACCCCAGTGCGCCATACAAATATTACCATGTTCTCTGTGCGCCGTGGTGTGGAAAGGGTTGGCCAGTACTGCTGTAAACTGTTAACGTTGCTGCCTTTTGATTTGAACCCTGAATGATGAGTAAATTTTCGAGATCCAGCGGAGAAGAAGGGGAAGAATTAAGGGCATTTCAGGGAAGCATAACCGTCCGGGCAGGCGTAACGGAAGTATGGAAGTCTGTGCTTGTTGGGGATGGGGGTGCTGGAATTGTTTGGTGTGGGTATTGTAGGGTAGGGACACTAGGACAGGTAGATCTGATTGAGAAGTGCTGTCCAGGATACAAAGCAATGTCTTGGAAGTGTTTAATAGACCACAGTGTCCACTTAATAAATACCTGGCCCAACCACAAGGCACCCTGTTCTCAGTGGGTGGGTCCATCGCAGTCCAGAGTTTTTAGTGACCAACTTTCTGGAGCTAGAAGCAGAGACATAGTAAGTGACAAGCCTTTTTTTTCTTTTTCTTATTTCTAAATTTGTATACAAAGGTTTTATTGTTGTTGTTTTTTTTTATATTTTATTGATTTTTTACAGAGAGGAAGGGAGAGGGATAGAGAGTTAGAAACATCGATGAGAGAGAAACATCGATCAGCTGCCTCCTGCACACCTCCTACTGGGGATGTGCCCGCAACCTAGGTACATGCCCTTGACCGGAATCGAACCTGGGACCTTTCAGTCCATAGGCTGACTCTCTATCCACTGAGCGAAACTGGCTAGGATTGTATACAAAGGTTTTAAAAGTGCATCTCATTTAGATTTTTTAAAAAATATATATTTTATTGATTTTTTACAGAGAGGAAGGGAGAGGGATAGAGAGTTAGAAACATCGATGAGAGAGAAACATCGATCAGCTGCCTCCTACACACCTCCCACTGGAGATGTGCCCACAACCAAGGTACATGCCCTTGACCAGAATCGAACCCAGGACCCTTCAGTCCGCAGGCTGACGCTCTATCCACTGAGCCAAACCTGTTAGGGCTCATTTAGATTTTTGATGAATTGTCTGCATTGGAAAAACATATTTAATTTTGGTCACTTCAGGATTTGTGATCACTATATCCCTGGAGTGGAAGGTAGTTTGGTGAGTTGGGTGTTGATGATAATAAGGGCTGTTTGAGCCCGTAAGGCTTAGGTTTAGAGTCAGACAAATCTGGGTTTAAATCCCACTTCTGCCACTTCCTACTTGCATGACCTGGATAAAGTCACTTACATCTCCACAGTACTCAATGAATAGTACTTTCTTTGCAGGATTGTTAGGAGGGTTAAATAGGATAATCTACATAAACATGCTTAGCACATGGTAGGTACTCAATAAGGAATAGCTGTTATTAATTTTCTACCGTTTTTTTTCAGATGCCACAGTAAATCACCATCAGTGTAATCATAATAACCGAACAGATGATTGGTAGTTTCAGTGGCAGCTGCTTCTGTTTCCATGATCTCTTTTGCTATTGAATATGTGAAGTTATGACAAAACAGAATTGGAAGGAAGAGCATAGATTTTAGAGTTCTCAGCCTTGGAATCCCAGCGTAATAACCAGTATTTCCTGACCGAGTGACCTAGTATAACTTAACCTATCTGAACTTCAGTTTCCCTAGATCAATGGTTCTCAACCTTCTGGCCCTTTAAATACAGTTCCTCATGTTGTGACCCAACCATAAAATTATTTTTGTTTCTACTTCATAACTGTAATGTTGCTACTGTTATGAATCGTAATGTAACTATCTGATATACAGGATGGTCTTAGGCGACCCCTGTGAAAGGGTCGTTCGACCGCCAAAGGGGTCGAGACCCACAGGTTGAGAACCGCTGCCCTAGAGAGAAAGAGGCTGTGCTATAGGATTGCTATAAGGTTTAAATGAGAATCACCTGTGTAAGCTCCATTACAGAAGGTCCAAAGTGGGGGAATGTTATTCTCTCCTTAACTTTAAAAAAAGCCGGTTAATGAATGCAGATTCTTATTGATGGTGGCTGGGTTGAGGGCATGGGGTCTGAGGGTAGTGTTTTAAATACCTTTCTTCCCTTTGATTCAGAACAAAGCTTGTATTGTCTTACGCCCTGTGGGATTAATTTTAGAGTGGTTTACGTATAGGATGTTTGGATTTGTATGAGGCCTTGACTGCTGGTTGAGGGCCAGAGTGTTGTTTTATGCTGGGCGTTTAGCAGTTATATGCTTCCTTCCTGCAACCTTTGTACCTAAGTGTTACCTCTTAGGTACACTTAGTGTGGTCAAACTTCTCAGTTGCAGGTAAGAAAAAGCTAACCCAAACACTAGCCCAGGGGGAAAAGGGTATAGGATTGCTATAAGGTTTAAATGAGAATCACTTGTGTAAGCTCCATTAAGCTTATTGACTCTTTTTTTAAAATATATATTTTATTGATTTTTTTTACAGACAGAAAGGGAGAGGGATAGAGAGTTAGAAACATCCTTGAGAGAGAAACATCGATCAGCTGCTTCCTGCACACTCCCTACTGGGGATGTGCCCGAAACCAAGGTACATGCCCTTGACCGGAATCGAACCTGGGACCTTTGAGTCCACAGGCCGACGCTCTATCCCCTGAGCCAAACCGGTCAGGACAAGCTTATTGACTCTTAACTGAAGAGGCCTGGGTGTACCAGCTTCAGGCACAGCTATATCCAGACAACTAAACTATGTCACCAGTGTTTTCTGTCTCCGCTCTGCTTTCCTCCATGTTGGTTTCTCTCAGGCAGGCAAAAGCCTTATCAGTTCCAGGCATCCATGCTACTCTCTTAACCAACAACTGAAAGGCAGTATCTCTTTGCACATAGCTCCAGCAAAAGATCTGAAATTGATTTTTGTCCAGACTTGGGTCACAGCTTTCTTCCTGAACCAGTCA